AAGATCTGCAAAATTTAAAGTTCAGTTCAGGTTCAATTGAACTTGAACCTGAATCTAAATTAAACTGAACTGAACTTTGGAACACTATGTTTAACTGAGTGAAAATCCATTCGAATTCTTTATTTTCAGATATCTGGCTTAAAATTTTAAAACAGGCTTCAACTATTTAGGGAGCCCTTTATCCTCAAGATAAACCTGCTAGAGCTTTTCATACCCACAATCCAGCTAACCTAAACTTCAATAACTTATACCGAGTCCGAGAACAAATACTTGTGAGCTGAAGCCACTACCATTATCTACTTTTGCCTTTGTAAAGTTCACCCAAACCCTAGTATTCACTTTACAGACTATTTTTTATATTTTCTAAATTTTTAAACTACCAATTCAGATAGCCTGGAAGGGCTATAACCTGCTTCTAGTCCCCACAGTTGAGTACTTTTCCTCCGATGACTCTCTTGATAGCCTGGTTAGTGAAGTGCTTTGCCAAATACTTTGATTCTGTTCAGTTATCCACTTTTCTAATAATAATTCTTTATATAGTACCATTAAAGATCTGTACTACCTCTCTATTCAGGTCTTGCTAAGCGGGTATCTAATCTTTCTGGTTTTTGGGTTTACAATGATCTGAGAACTTATTTGTGTAATTCATATATTGCACAAATGCACTATGATCTTTCAATCTTGTTAGTGCTATCAAGGTTACAGAGATCCTGTTCTAATTAATTGACAGAAGATAGTAGCATTGTATAAGTAGAATTTTCAAAATTTGTCACCAGTAGGTTTCGAACCCTCTACTTATCCAACATACTGCTTGAAGTACGACAACTTAACCACTTCACTAAGTTGCCACATCCTGTGTTTGCTTTTTTGTTTTTTGCTGAATAGTTTATAAATAACTTTATTTTAAGCCTAACCTGCACTTATATATTTAGCTCTTTCTTGATTTCTAGAAATTAGCTAAAAAAAGTTGTGTTAGAACTCGAAATAAAAAGTATTGAATCTATTGAGGTGCAATCTTCAAATATTGTAGAATAGTAAGTCAACTTGCTTTGATTCTATTCAAGATTCTTTTAAATTTTTCTCTAATTAAACTTTAATTAATCAAATAAGTAATGAGGACTTAGAACTATATAATGTTCATAATATTGAAATAGAAAGTAAAAATAATAGTGAACCTATTGAAAAATGATCTTTAAATATTATAGAATAATAGGTCAACCAGCTTTGAATCTGCTTTTTATTTAAAACTTTTTCAAATATTTATTAATAAACTTCAATTATTGAATAATAAGTTATAAGAACTTAGAACTATATAATATCTATAATATTAAAATAAAAAGCAAAAATAATATTGAACCTATTGAGATGCAATCTTTATATACTGCTGAATAATAAGTAAACTTACTTTTAAATCTGCTTTTTATTCAAAGCTTTTTCAAATATTTCACTAATTAAACTTCAATTATCGATTAATAAATAATAAGAACTTAGAACTATATAATATCTATATATAATATTAAAATAGAAAGTGAAAATAATGTTGAACCTATTGAGATGCGATCTTTACATACTGCTAGATAGTAAGTCAACTTGCTTTCGAATTTGCTTTTTATTCAAAGCTTTTTTCAAATATTTCTCTAATTTAACTTTGATTAATAAGTAATAAGAACTTGACCAATACAATGAAAGCTTCAATAATCAGTCAAATATTTGGTAGTTGAGATGAACTTGATCTTCATATCTTCTTATACAAAATTACAGAATTTTGTAAGCATTATATGTAGATTAGAATATAAAAATAGAATTTGCTGAAACTATCGATATATTTGTGAATATCAAGGTTATAATGGTACAAACTAAACTAGTATTGCTAAAAATTAATGGTAGACACGAAGCAAACATATAGAATATCACTGGCTAGTTCATGCTAGTTGTTCTAAGATAACAGGAGAATTAAAGATTACTTCTGTTAATAAAAAATGATACCAATAAATTTGTTTTGAAATACCAGATATTTTCTGAAGATATGTTAAAGAATATTAGATTTTGGACTGAGAGAGGGAATATTAATATAAGAACTCAATATCAAATGCTAACTAAGCAGTATCCTGATGCTTTTTTTTATCACAGGATCTTTCAAACCTTCAAACAACAAAATTATATTGAATGTGAGATAGCCACTTTACTTAATAATCTCCTTGATCATAAAGCTGAAGACAATAGATAGATTGTAAATTGGAAGGTTGATTCTGCCAATAATTTACTTATATTATTATTTTGGCTATTACCTGAACAATATAATTTATACAGTATGGGATAGTAAAAGACATCCAATCTATACATAGAGATGCCAATTTTTGATGCTTATATAATCAATTCTGATTGGCTAATTTTT